TATCCTTCGAGTAAATTTACACGTCCGTTTCCATTTGAATTCCCATCTAAAAGCACGTCGAATTCGTTGATTTAACTCGACTCCGCGAATATCTCCTCGCGGATAAACGAAAGAAAACGCAGCTACCGATCTTAATTTGATCAAAAAGTAGTTGTTTATTAATCCCCGTTCGTTTAATTAAGTAACCGGTGGAAGAAAAAGAAAGATTGGTCAACGATGACCGAGAAAATTTACGAGCTCTCTGCCTTTTCCATTCTTTGTTCCGGTTCGCCTTCTCTTCCCTCCTCCTCCACCCCTTTCTACTTTTCTTACTCGCAGCAAATGGAACTCCGAATTGTCGCAACGGTGCCAACTGAATACACAAAACGTCTCGTAAAGTGAGCGTCCGAGGTAATTACTCGGCTCTCGCAGTTAATTACGATTTTTGCGTTTTACCCGCTTCGTGTCGCGAAGTCGTTCGCTAAGGAACGACCGATCGTGTGTGCTCATGGTAAAAGTATGAAATAGTTTTTAGCTACCCACTTCGATCTTGCGATTGAAATTACGTGAAAATTATCACATCATCTATTATTACAATTATCACATAATTTTATTTTTTTAGTTCCCAACTAATCTGCCAGTTCTTTGGATAAACGATAGTGGATTTTGATTCAATTTTGCCAGTCGTTGTCAAGTGTGACGATACAACAGATTTTGCACTGCGAATTAACCCTTTCTCTCAAGTCGAATTCACCCTTTCACTGATCAACAATTAACTTTTCTGCAGATCAGAATGTGTTTCCTCTCAAGCCATCGTAATAATAATAATGTATATAATATATATAATATATAGTACCATCGTAAAAATAATATATATAATCTTATAATATATAAAAAATATTTTAATATATTAAATATATATAATATATATAATAAATATTTAAAAAATATTTAATATATAAAAATATATAATATATAATAATATATAACAAATATTTAAAATATAAAAAATATATAATATATTTAAAAAATATATATTTTAATATTTAAAATATATATAATATGTATAATAAATATTTAAAAGATATTTAATATGTTAAATATATATAATATATATGAAAAATATTTAATATATTAAATATATATAATATATATAATATATAATATCATCGTAAAAATAATATATATAATATATGATTTTGTAATATATAAAAAATATTTTATAATATGTAAAATCCGGTGTAAAGCTGTTATTCCGAAATCAAAATTTTGTTGCATGTATTTTTTAATAATATTTGGAAGAATATATGACAGAATGACATGAAATTAACATAAAGAATACTTTACTAAAAGTATTTATGTAGATTTACATATTCGTACAATAATTATGGCAATCTGTAGGTGTAATAGCTGCAACAGAATGATTGATAACATCCACTAAATGATCACGACTCGGAGAGTCAGCCAAAATATTTGTCACGTGGAATATAATTTTTGAAAGAACATTTTCAATGGAGTTCATCATTGGAGAGCTAGTAAAAGTAATAAAGTGCATTACTTCGCTTTTGAGTCACTCGCGAGGTGAATTTCATTTGCAAAGAGATGAATATGATCTGCAGAACTCGTAATAAACTCGCATTACATATTTGAACAGGCTCTTAAATTTGTGAATTATTTTCGGAGACGCGGTGGAAACATTTGAAAATAATTCACAAATTTAAGAGCCTGTTCAAATATTATAGGAAGAATATGTTTCACAAGCGAGCGAGGGAAATTTATACCCTCACGCCGACAACCTTACAAATTTCAACTCTTTAACCTTTGTCAGGGACAATGAGCTAACGTTCGTCGCACAACTTTGGAACATTTTCCAATTTCCCATCGAGCCGAAACTTGGAAATATTTCACGCAACACGCACATATATAACACACACTCACACATACACACGAGAATTTCCTCTTCCAGTAGCAACTGTTCGAAATTCAAACTTCGAACTATCCGCATCCACGAGCGGAACCGTTGTTATGCACAATTTCTTAGATGCCTGGTATAATATTGGGACTCGAGAGCAGAAGAACTTCAACTCATGTAGCTCAAGTAAGCTCAACTTACGAAACTCGACCAGGGAAACTGTCAAAACAATTGCTCGACGCCGTAGACACGTCCGAGAGGCAACAACGTCAATTTAAACGCTCGTGTCTGCTTGTCGTGTCGTCGTCGTCGAACGACTCTTGGAAAATGCGTGATGAATGCATCTCGATGCTATGAACATTAATCCTGGCGATGGATCATGGAACAAGGCGACTGACTGGTGTGTGTTCCGACGAGGTCGCTGGTTCTCGCGTCGACAACGATTTCCGGCGCGAGAAGTCGACGTGTCCAATTTCCGGCGCGAGCCGACGAGAGAGAGAGAAAAAAAAAGGAAGGAATCTGCATCCCGATATTTCCGATGGCGAGAAAGTGTCGTCGAGCGTCAGGAAACGATCGTCTTGGTCGAACGGTTTCGCACGGTGGTCGGACGGTGGGAACGTCCCCTTTTCGACGGTCACCGGAACCGGGACAAATCAAACCGGAAAATTTCATGCCACCGGTCATTGGAGACGAGCGTGTGATATAGAAATTTCGTTTCCTTCATCGAATATTTCCAATAATCTCTTTCATCGCTACTATATACAGAGTGATTCGCGCGAATTCGCGACGAACATCTGAAATAAGTTTTTAATTTACTAGTCTTTTAATCTCTTGCGCTGGAATGACGTGCCACGCACGTCAGAGAATTTTTTGTTTCAAATTGCAACAGTTTCTTTAAGTATATTTAAATGTAGCCTCAGTTTTAAGTATATTAAATGTAGGCAAATAATAAGTTTTATTACTTCTTAATAATTTCTGTCCAGCGAATTCAAAAGAAACAGAAAGCGACGAATTATTGTATACAGATTCGGTCACTCGTTATGGTCCGCGAACCAGTTGGCCAGCGCAAGGAGTTAAGGGAGGCGAAATATGGCACACATTTCTGTGTGTTTCGAAATTTTCAAGGTCCTCTGTTTTTTTTTTTTTTTTAATTAATCTATATATTTTTTTATCTATCTATATATTTTAAATTAATCTATATATTTTTAAATTAATCTATATATTTTCAAGGTCCTCTGTTTTTTTTTTAAATTAATCTATAAATTAATCTATAATTAATCTATATATTTTATGATTTTTTTTTTAATCTATATATTTATATATTTTTATTTAAATTAATCTATATTTTAAAAATCAAAAGAATATTAAATTCTAAGTAAAAAAAAAAAGGATTAACGCTATTGGTCCTAGACTCCAATAGTTGAGGAGATATTTTACGATAATTCGTCTTTGTTGTGTATAATGATCTAACTACACTGCGGATTTTTGTTCGAATTTATACTTCTTAGAATATGAATTGAAGCAATGGAACCTTGGTGCAGAATTGTTGTTTCACGTGTCAAATACTATAAAAAAAAAAAACATTGTACTCTTGTGTTGCGAGCAACTTTGCAATTTCTTACAGACGCACAAAGATTCTCAATCTAACAACGATTACATTCTAACTATAGTTGTTAATCATAACGATTAAATTCCTAATTTTATTGCAATCGACTGTTGTCGATAACAGTCGATAATCGACTATTGATCGATTAAATCGATCGCTGATTTTTCAACGATTAATTTTATTAATCGTTAACGTTAATTCAAACCGAAAATTTCAAACCGATTAAATGCACAACTCTGACACAAAAGTGGAGCAGATAGATTTATTGAAATCATATTCAGTTAATCCTACTAGAATTCTATTTCGTCGAAATTGAATTGAAATTGAATTGAGTTTGAAATTATTTTAGAAACGGAGGAACATTTCACGAGCGCGAAATGAAATAATTACACGATACGACTGTTATTATTATATAATACTTATTTGCGTTACTGAACGTTATAAGAAATGCTCCACTTTCGATACTTTACACATTCATACTGTTTAGAGATCTATATGCGTTTTGTGACGTAGTTATCATTTGAGAAAGTAATCAGTGAAATATTTTGAAGCCAGGTACGTACACGAAGTTTGAAACGGTGAACGTAGAATAATTACCGCGAGTATGTGTCAAACAAACGATACAGTTGAAATCACGATACAGTTGTCCCGCTTTCCGCGTAATTGCACGTCTAAATAATTAACGAAACACAATATTAATTAGTGAGTTGTTCGCGAAACGCAAACTCCAAAGGCTCATTTTATTTGGCTAGCGAATTAGCGAGCATTGCGAATAGAGTGGTTTAAACACGCGACGAAGAACAGATTAGGAGAGAGTTATTTGAAATTATTAAATGACCAAGAACGATCTCATATTTTTCCTATCTTTCCCTCTCTTCTCTGTTTCTTACTATCGCAAAGAGCATTGGATGATTTTCTGCGCCATGGAACGTTTCACGGCGAGAACGCGATCGAAAGAACGGAAAAACCGATCAAATATACATTGTTTCATATTCCCGGGAGCCTTTGTCGGTCGACTGCAACTATCCTCGAAAATTGACATATTGCGCAGGCAGTTTAAGCCGGCCTGTGTGCGGGATGATCAATTTCAATCTAAAAACGGATTTACCTCGCCACCGAGGAGAACGAGCACACGCGTGATCGGAAAGAGGAGATCGGTTAGAAAAAGTCCGACGATGTTTCGGATCAACTGGATAGTTGAGAGTCAAATTGAAATTTGATCTGCGATTAAAAGAAATTTCATCGGTTGGCGAAATTCGCTAGACGTTCAAAGAGAAGCCCATAACTCGCCCGCATCTGGAGGCAGCGCGATGGAAAATGTAAGAAAAGTTGGTAGAATATTTTTCACAGAAGTAAATTGCACACCGTTCCGTAATAATATCATGATATTTAATTATACATAATATGGTAATATCGTCGTGATTCAAATATCGTAATATAATATGATTAACTCGATCGAAAACGAAAAGTTTTGAGAAAGCAGAGAAATTAGAGGCGACTTACCGATAGAGCATCCGCTCTTGGCGATCAGCCTCCCGATAAATCTTGTAGTACATGGCGATCATGATGATGCCGGGCACCCAGAAACTGACACTGGAGCTGATCACCGCGTAGAGTTTGTTCACTTGGAACACGCACACGTCCGGATAATTCCTCCTGAACTCGAGGTGTTTCTCGGTGGTGTACCAGCCGGCGAATATCGGCAGGAAGCTCATCACCGTCGGCGAGCACCAGACCATGCTCAGCATGGTGCTGAGCCGTAGGTTGGTCATGATCAACGGGTAGTCGAGCGGCTGTACGATCGCGTAGTAACGATCGACGCTGATGCAGCAGAGGTGGAGGATCGAAACGGTGCTGAAGAACACGTCCAGCGAGTTCCACACGTCGCACATGAAGTAGCCGAACAGCCATCTGCCGGACAGCTCGACCGACGCGTTGAACGTCATCGCGAAAATGGCCACCAGCATGTCGGCCAACGCCAACGAGACCACAAAGTAATTGGTAATTACTCGAAGCTTTCTGTGCCTCATCACCGACACGATCACCAATAGATTGCCGAACAGGGCGCACAGAATGATGAAGCCCATCACCGTTCCCTTCACTATCAAAAGAAGCACGTGTTCCAGCTCGTAGTGCTCGTACGGGACGCCGGTCGATCGGTTCGATTGGCCGGTGTCGATCAGAACGTTGGACAGATTTGGCAGATCGGTCGCGTTCGTCAACTCCTCTTCCATCGTCGCGTTTGCTTCCTCCATCGCTCTCGAAAGCTAATTCTCCTCTCTTTTCCGTTTTCTGTTCTTTCGTTTTTATTTCTTTTTTCTTTTTGGCCCGTTACCGCGATTCGTGCGGCCTCGCGACGCCCTCTTCCGCTTCTTCGACCACCTCGTCGACGAGGTTGCACCGGAGATCCCGCCAGGCCATCGGAGAACGCGGAAACGAACGCGGAGTCGGGAGTTTAATTGGCTAACGAAGAGTATCGAGGATGGTTTGTACGGGGCTGGATGTCGATAGTAGTTGGGCCGTAAAGTTTGACGTTTGCCAGCCAGACATTTTCGCGAGGATAACGCGGAGTTGGATGCGCTTTTGCCTATACGTGGTAGCTGAACCGAGATTCTTGACGTCTTCGCGACACGTTGGAGACGTTCCAGGAAGTACGTTCCGCGGCTGGAATCAAATTCTCCGCACGCTGTTTCAGCGTTGCTGTTGAGACGAAGCCCGTCTCCGCGTGGTCCTTGAGCATCGCGGCAGTCTGCAATCGGAAATGACAGGGAATTGAGCTTTGCAGAAATTTTGAACAAAATATGAACTTGCAATAATTATATTATTCCTCCCAAGTGTGATTGACCCTTTGGCTATTGTTGGCGCTTACAGGTGCTCACTTCGCGTTGCTCGAATTAAACTAAAAGCGCCTACGGGCAAATGTTACTGACAATAGTTGCAACAAAAGAATATTAGATTATATATTATTTTTAAGATTAGTCATATATCATTCAAACGTGATTGTTTTATTTTATTAGAATATATAATACATATATTAATATTATATAATTATATTAATTAAATATTAATACGTGTATTATAATTATTAGATATAACATTATGAAATAAAGCTTCAAGTTGCAGTTAAATTTTTAGCACGTGCACCATCAATTCAATACGGGATACGAATAAATAAATAATATTGGTTTGACGTAGTATTTCAATTCAGCGTTTTGATTATTTCAAGAAATAATACTTTCTAAGAAATGCTGACGCTGACGAGAAATTCCTCAGTACAAGTCGCCGTAGCCAAAGGGTTAAATACACCGTCAAGCGTTGTCTCTCGTCGAGAGGCAAACGAAACGACCCTCCGATTGAATTGCACGGTGTCAAAAATAATTTGAAATCATTCCTGCTGGCGAAACGTGCGCGTCCGTTCGTTTCGCGGAGTTTGTTCGTGCCAGCACGTCTCGCGGAGGAGATTAAATTTCGAATAGGACGGGATTACGAGGGAATTGGCAGCGGCGACGCCTTGGCGAAATATAAATAAGCAACGGGTTGATCGGGTGATCGCCGATCACCGGAAGGATCGCAGCGATAAAGCAAACATTGCATTCATTACGGTTCGTTGTATTCCCGGTTTCGAAATTACTCTGCAAAATTCGTTACGTGGACGCGGAACGATCTTCTCCCGGTAGATAAGGTACGATAAGGACATTGAATAAAAATGAATAAAAATAAATTAAGTAAAGACATTGAATAAAAAAATGAATAAAAATAAATTAAGTAAAAATAAATATAAGTAAAATAAATTAAGTAAAAATAAGTAAAAGTAAAATAAATTGAGTAAAAATAAGTAAAAGTAAAATAAATTAAGTAAAAATAAGTAAAAGTAAAATAAATTAAGTAAAAATAAATTAAGTGAAAATAAATTAAGTAAAAATAAGTAAAAGTAAAATAAATTGAGTAAAAATAAATAAAAATAAAATAAATTAAGTAAAAATAAATAAAAGTAAAATAAATTAAGTAAAAATGAATAAAAGTAAAATAAATTAAGTAAAAATAAATAAAAGTAAAATAAATTAAGTAAAAATAAAATAAATTAAAAAAATTAAATAAAAATATATATATGAAATATAAATATATGCTCCACATCGGAGCATAGAATCCATTATCTCTAATCGAAACGATAATTTCTTCTCTAAAGCTTCTTTGTTCGAGGAGGAAAATAATGTTGTCGCGGAAACATCACATCTTCTGGGAAATGAAAATACATCTCCGTACTTCGATGGGTCGGTGGGAATAAGTGGAATGCGAAAATTCAAACAAAAACATCCTGCACGTGGACAAGCTACTTATTTAAATTCTTTTTCAATTAAGCGTCTGTCGACAATTTAACTGTATTTTAATGAGTTTTGAAACGGAACAGATAAAAAGATACGTTCTTCCTGGAATAATACATTAAATGGAAATATATATATATATATTATATGAAACAGCGCTTAGGGAGCCAGATTCACAATAACGAGAATTTTTAATATCCGCTAATAACCAATTTGAAAGGTATTTTAATTGAAAAAAACGAGGGAGAAATGAGCGAGACAGAAATGATCTTCCCTGGGTGGTGATTAAATGAAAAAGCTACAAAACAAACACCTCCAATCCCGGCAAATTGATTTTAATATTTTCTTCACGCCGGTATCGATTCGTCTGAACAAAAACACCGTCTAATAAAATTAGCCTGTTTCCTTTCTCTTCCCGGCGAGAATCGCATTGCAATTTAATCATCGTCAATTATTTCCTTAAACATTACGCCTCCCTCCCCCTTCGGTGGGGTTAATCGATCGATCGTTCGCTCGGTCAATTAAACCAGCTCATCCTTCACTTTCTCCCTCGACGTCTTATCTCAAGCGAACCGGAACTCTCCATCCTCGAGATTGAACGAATCTCGCAACGAGCAATTACACTTCTTCACGAGCTCCTCCTCAAACAAAGGTCAAATCTGGAAAGATAAGAATCGGAGAGAGGCTCGTAAGCTCGTGGCTGGTGGTAGATCACCTCGAAGAGTCGAATTCCAAAGTAATGGCAATGGCAGGGGCGGCGTTTCCAAAACCACGCAAAAAAAAAAAAAAAGAGAGCATTGAGATTACAACGGGGAGATAGTGCCTTTAGAATAGGGTCGCTCCCCTCGCTTTTTCTCTCGTTGCTTCCGATTTCCTGCTCCTTCTCTTCTCGTACCGCGTAAAATTACTTCGAACACATATGCACACGAATACGATCTGATCCGGCAGAATTTAGGGCTTTTTGCTCTGTTAAATTGAGACTCGATCGCGCTGTTTTAAGTTCGCGTTAACGATCAAAACATCGATCAAAACACGGGAATGAGAGGGGTGAGACGTAACGTTTTTCGAGGAAATAATTGGCGGTGATGGAAATTGCAACGTGACTTACAATTAAACGAGGAAGGAAAAGTGAACAAAATATTATTAAAAATTATATTAATTAATTATAATATTATTAATATATAATATATTATTGATATTATTAATATATATTATTAATATTAATTATATTAATTAGTTATAATATTACATTATATTATATTAAATAAAATATTATATATAATTGTATAATTATATATAATATTTTATTTAATATTTATAATATTTATTTAATATATTTAATATATTTATATTAAATAAAATATTATATTATATTATATTATATTATATTAAAAATAAAATATTATTATTATTGAAAATTATTAAAAATAATTGAAAACATTGAGGTGCGTCTGTGAGATAGAGGAAACCTTGGAAATTACTCTGAATTTCTTCCTGAGAGAGAGGCAATTTCACAAGCGGGGCAAGTTTTTAAAATTTTTCCTGCGAACCGACATATAACGAATCACGCTCATATCACCCCTCAAGTAAACAAAATCTAAATTATCTTACATTGTATATGCAGCTAAAAAAGGATCGTCGAAGGAACCAACACAGGTCATAAAAGGAAAGAAGAAAGGAACGAGGCAATTGTCGCCTGCTGCGTGTCCGACCCCGATCGGAGCGAAGGGAAACTGTTTGTTTTCAGACTTAAAATATGACGGTATGATTATGTATGTGTGTGTGTGTGTGTGTGTGTGAATGTACAAAGAACGAAGATTTCGAGGGTGCAGATCGTGAAGTAAGTAGCGAGTTGTGAGAGAGTGCAGATCGTGAGGGAATTAAAGAAAGAGAGAAACAGAGAGAAAATCGAGTCGTGAGAATAAATAGTGTACAGATTTTGAAAAAATCATAGCGAGCAGCAAGTTGTGACAGCGTGAGAATCGTAGTGTAAGCTTTCATATCGTCTTTCGTATTCGGACTTTTTCAATATCTGTTACGTTCCTGAATTAGATAAATACTTTATGTCTACGTTTATTTCAAATTACGCGCTACGTTGAAATTTGTACTATTTTATTTTTTTTTTTTTTTTCTACCTACACACTTGAGAAAGTTTTCGCAGTGTCTGTCTGAATTCGTGTGAACCGAGAGGCATGGAAGTTTGCGTGAACCCGATGTGAGAGGACAGTGGCGCAAAACGACGTTTGGCAACGATTAAATCGGGGCACGGCATTCAGCGGTCGGCCTCGTTAATGGAAAAGTATCGCGGTAGCTCGGGAGTGCACGAGATAAATTTTCATTAAGATCCGTGTCCTCGCAGATGCACAGAGGCCGCACCTGGCGCGGCAATTAGAAAATCTCGCGCTTAGGAAGGAAAACAGCTACGCAACTTGTTTTGCGCGATTTTCATCGAACGTGTGAAACGTTCACGAAGAATCTGCAAACTGGACTGGTTAAAAAAGAGTCGAAAGGCTGATCGACAACTTCTCGATAGATTTCGATTCGAATAATCGTTCGCCGCGTTTGGGTCGAAATGTTTTTAGCGAGTCCTCGTGCACTTTCACGCTTTCTCTGATAACTTTCGTCAGATCTAGTCGTCGATAGTTCGGACGTTAACTTCGCCTCTGTATTAGTTTTTTTTTTTGTGGGGGGGGGGGGGGGGGGAATTTACCTTGAAACATTTTTGGACGAAATGGACAAACACTTGCAAACATCGACCTGATACTTTGTATCCACGATACAAAACTGAACTTTGTTTGCACATGCACGTACGTGCATACGTGCTTTGCTGATATTTTCTCGCGTTCGATTTATAAGTTTTCGATTTATTTTCTTTTTCTTTTTTTTTTTTTTTTTTTTTTTTTTGTCGACTCGACAAGGTATCCACGAAATAACGAGATAACAGTTTCCCTCGAGTAAGTCCATATTTGCTAAACGTTTCGCGCACGCATGCACGTAAATATTTTTCGATCGTCCGCAAATATGAATGTCCCGTACTGTACATTTACAAATCTACTATTCTTTGTTTCGTCAAAAGAATCGCCGGTAGAATGTACCAACTTCCAGTGAAGTTCAGAATCTATCGACACTTGAAATTGGACAAATTTTCATTGTGGTGAAAACGGAATAATACATAACAGTAACAATATATATAATTAGAAATATTACAAGAAACGAAATAAATTTCAAGAATTAGACAGCCATCCAAGGATGTTTCTTACATTCGCTGAAACAACTTCAAATGGTCTTCCAAAAATTTCAATTTCTATATCACCTCACCAGTTTTGTCAAAGTCTGTTCGAATGCAGAAACCTCTGTAGTGTCGTCAACCATATGCTACGCTCATACTACTGGCGTTCGAAAAACAGGGAGAAACACGGGTAAACCGAGTCAGGCGAACCAAGATGTCGAGATTGAAACATGTACGCAGTATACACGGCTCGTAACAGGTGTGTCGCTCTTCCACCTTTTCTTCGTCCCGTATTGTCAAGCAGGAATTTCGAATCGCGGTTACGTTCTATTCTCGCGCACCTGCATCTCGAGCAGCAGCCTTCGTCGAATGCAATTTTTCGTCAAATCTCTGCTCGACTCCCTTATGAAGAGCAATAGCCAGACGTTTCTGAGGGAAAGAAGTGGCGGAGGCGCGCCCTTTTCGGACGAACGATCAGTGATTGATGATATTGAGAAAGAGCCGTTACGAGAGGAGGATTCAGGTGAAAAATGAACAGACATTCGAGGGAAAGAAACGTTAAACAGTGACGAATGACGCAACGAGGCAGCTGGTACAGTGAAGCTAACTCTTCCAAGAGAAACTCGCGTGAAATGGTCGTAGTTCCAGGCTTGCGGCCTCTCTCACAAATTTCGACTTGCGAATTTTCTTTTTTCTTTTTTTTTAACGACGAAGAAAATTCTTCCTCTTTAAAAGTAAGATCTCTTTTTGATCTTTTACAGTTTTTTTCAATGCGCAATACTTTCTTAGTCGGTGCAGAGACGATCTGTTTGTTATGAACTTGATTGACACTAAATTTACTGACACTTCGTGATCTGTTAGAGCGATCTTGGAAAAAAGTAACATGTTTTTTACACTTGATCGTAGATAATACTTCAATTTGGTAAGCAGGTCCTTTACCATCACCCTCACTTTCGGAACTCAATGCTAATCTCTTCTTTTGTCCTCTACATTTATTCAAGATAGTCTCCTTTTTCGTTGTCCGTTAGAGTCCCCAGAAAGGGGACTCTAATTCATCGGACGTGATCTGAAAAATAGGTTACCATCTTTTTCCATCTTAGAAAGTTTCTGTTCGCCGACACATCCGACACACTCTTCCTGTTCCGTGTTAATTATTTGTTCTAATAACCTCATATTTGTTGAATGCCTCGATATTCTTAGGACAAACATTCGCCACGGAATGATACACTAAATATCAAATGCAAAGTTTCATATTTAGCCAAATTATCGCCGATTTACTTTCCCTTCCTTCAAATTTGCACTTGTTAATTTGAAATGCAAGGAAGTCGAAACTTTTATGCTTTTTGCGAACCGATTGTATAGTTTTAAAAGAGTGAATCTCACAATTGACAACCGTGATGCTCTTCGCGGACCGATTGTATAGTTTTAGAAGAGTGAATATCATAAATTGACAGGCTACATGTATTTCTCTGAAAAAAAGAAGAAAATAAAAGGAGAAGTAAATACTGAACGATTCATTGTATATTTTAGGAAAAGTCGCAGAGATAAATAGCGATGTAACGACGTATGTAATAAAATTGTACGCAATAGTAACGCTTCGAATTATCGTATCACCGAGAATCGAAACAAATACAGAGAATCCGTATTAATTTATCAAATTTCGAAGAACTCGTTGAAATCAGAATTAAATCGTTCGGTGGTGAGATCAACAGTTAAAAAAAAAAAAAAGAAAAATACAGAGAACGAACAAATACAAAGACCTGGATAAATCCGTATTTATCAAATGTCGAAGAACGGTCGTGAAAATCAAAATTAAATCATTCGGTGGTGAGATCGACGGTTTAAAAAAAAAAAAAAAATGAAGAAAAGAGAAAAACACGACGAGCGTCGAAACTTTCAATTTTCAAAGTCGCAGCGACTGTTTGGAGTGACGAATACTCGGCCGTATACTTCGTACCTCTGCGAGCGACGAAAATATTCGACTCGAGCTATAATATGTTCGCGGGAATGCAATATTCAACGAGAATATCGAGTGACGGTCGTTATACACAAAGGTGAACAGTTTACCTCAAGGTTTAACAGGTGCAGCGATTCCCGACGCGGTGTATATCATCGTGCCCGACGCGAAATTCTCTTCGTTCCGACTCGCTCTTGAAACGCTCTTCCATTTCCTGTCAGCATGCTTCCGTCTGCACAGTGAAATTGACACCAATTGTGCCGAAGATGTCGCACAGGTCCTTCGAAACTTGTCTCCTTCCAGCTTTGGAAGATTTTCTAACGGGACACTTTGCTCCGCTTTGCTGCGTTTTCTTTTTTTTTTTTTCTTTTTCTTTTTCTTTTTCTCACGTCGTCGTTGATCTTAACATCGGATAGTTCAGCGTGACTTTGACAGTGTTTCACGAAGCTCGAAGTTCGTGTCGGATGGTGATTAATCGCTTAAATTTTCATCAAAAATTCTCTTTGCGTTTTCCTTTTCTTCTAGTTTCGTTTTATCTCTCTTCTTTTTAAAGAGAACGTTACGCGCCAGTAGATGGATCGAATTAACCACGTTTCGAACGTGGCAGCGTCCACTGTGTACTTAATTGAAACATCTCCATTCACTCGGCCCCGAGTGAGGACAGCGTCGTTCGTTCGAAACGATCTCAATCTTCGTTGACGAAGATGAGAAACAGTCGCGATTTCGACGTTACTCGCGATAAAGGCAATTTGATGACAGCCGGCTATCACACGGACACGATCTAGCCAGCAGCACCCCGAGGCAGTACCCCAAAGTACCACAAAACACGAAGCATCCTTCCGCGCTCGCGGGATTTACCTCCGAATTACACAACCCCGACAGCGGTTCGAGTCTTATCTTGAGTCTAGCAACTGAGACTTCTCCCAAGTCGATTACACCAACGTGAAACAGTCGCACACACTGTCGTACAAACCTTCTCGCGCCGATTTCGATACCATCCACACTGGCAAGATCAATCAGTGTCCCTCTTTCGAAACGAAAAAGAATTCTCCTTGATCGAGTGTTACTTGCGACGTAACGACGAACGTCAATTTTAACAACGATTTCCTGATTCACCCGAGATCGAATCGTCGTTCGAAGCGTCGACACGTGACGCCAATGCTCGTACGGACGATCGATTTGACAAGAGCGCGACACTTGGACAGTTCTTTTGCCTCCGGAATCGTCGATGGAATCGAATCGGCAATGAATGGGGAAAGGACTCGCGAGAGGACTCGAGGTGTGTTGTCCATGCAAATTTTGTTTACATGGCGAGTGTTTCGTTACCGGCGATCAGCCGTGGGAAACGCGGCGGGCACCCGTGTGTCCGTTCGGACGGCTTGCCAGGCCGTAGAGAACTGTGGACACACTCGCTGGTTTCCCGCTTTCCGCCACCCTTCGCGGCAGCACCGGGGGCGTCTGCACCTCGGCGTACCCTGCGCGGACGCCACCCTCGCCCGCCCACCCTCGTGTAGCCACGACGACGACGACGACGACGACGACACGCTCGCGCGCCGGGTTTTCGGCCGCCACGAAAACGGCTTCTGGGACCAGCCGTCGACTTCCGACTGATTTCACCAGGCGCGATGTTGATTTTCGGGATAATTCCCGGGGATTTTGGACGGTGGAAGTTTGAAATTAGTTGCGCGTTCCTGGTTTTTGGTCAACTGAGCTTCTTTGCTCGCAAAAATTAGGGGATATTTCAAAGTGAATGCGAAGCGATAAAAGAAAGGACTGTTTGAGTTTTTTTTTTTTTTATTATTAAACAAGAACTGGTCAGAAAAACAACTTTTACCGCTTCATATTCACTTTGAAATATCCTCTGTTTTTTTGCTTTTCTTTTTCTTTTACACTGCTCGCAAAAATTAGGGGATATTTCAAAGTGAATGTGAAGCGATAAAAGAAAGGTGCGTTTGATTTTTTTTATTTTTATTATTAAACAAGAACTGGTCAGAAAAGCAACATTTATCGCTTCATATTTATTTTGAAATATCCCCTAATTTTTGCTTTTCTTTTTCTTTTACACTGCTCGCAAAAATTAGGGGATATTTCTAAGTGAATGTGAAGCGATAAAAGAAAAGTGAGTTTGATTTTTTTTTATTATTAAACAAGAACTGGTCAGAAAAGCAACTTTTATCGCTTCATATTCATTTTGAAATATCCTCTAATTTTTGCTTCTTTTTTCCTTTTACACTGCTCGCAAAAATTAGGGAATATTTCAAAGTGAATGTGAAGCGATAAAAGAAAAGTGAGTTTGATTTTTTTTTATTATTAAACAAGAACTGGTCAGAAAAGCAACTTTTATCGCTTCATATTCATTTTGAAATATCCCCTAATTTTTGCGAGTAGTGTAAAAGGAAAAAAGAAGCAAAAATTAGGGGATATTTCAAAGTGAATGTGAAGCGATAAAAGGAGAGGATCGTTTGAGTTTTTTTTATTAAACAAAAACTAGTCAGAAAAGCAACTGGTCAATTGCTTCATTTTTTATCGCTTCATATTCATTTTGAAATATCCCCTAATTTTTCCTTATCTTTTCCTTTTACACTGCTCGCAAAATTTAGTGGATATTTCAAAGTGAATGTAAAGCGATAAAAAAAAGGAGCGTTTGATTTTTTTCTTTTTTTATTAAACAAAAACTGGTCAGAAAAGCAACTAATCGTTTGCTGGTCAAGTGCTTCTTTTTTTATCGCTTCATATTCATTTTGAAATATCCCCTAATTTTTGTGAGCAGTATAATTGGAAAAAGGCACGGAGTGGAGCGGTCTTTTTATCGTTTCACTCTTTAACCTTTTGCAGTCCGAGTTATTTTTCAATTATCCTTTTTTTCCTTTTTCTGACAATTTAACTGGCAATTTAAAAACGTCGAGCGTGACTCCACATTAGCAAACTAACAGAAATCTTTCTTTCTGATTTTTCATTTTGAAATCAACACGAAACAGACAATTGTTGACGCGAGGTCGTGCATTTTCTTTTGCTAAAACAAGCTTCAGATCGCGCGATGAAATGTCGTTGGTTACATCCCGAGATATTCGTGTATCTATCAACGAGAAATTATTCGACAATAGTTCGATAATAAATTCGACAATAGGCAAGTGTTCGTTTTTTTAACTTGCCAACAATGAAAATTTTATTTATACAAAGGAGCGATCAGTTCGTCAGTGCGACGTTTCGTTTGTATAAAGAGCGCGAATCAGTCTTTATCTAGGCATCGTGAAATGTAGAAGCGACGAGTTTGCACGTGTCAACGCTCGTCGTTCCGAAATTTAAGAAAAATTTGCTGCCACTGTCGTATCGCGTGGATCGAACGCACGAACGCGGAGAGGAATCTGCAAGTGAAATGAGATGAGAAAATCTCGCGGATTCCTTCGCTCCCTTATCGTTTCAGCGACAAAGGGACGAGACTCGAGTTTATCGTCCATTGAATCTTCTCGCGGATCTCTTTTACTCGCGACGTACGAAGAAAGTTCGACGTGGAAACACGTGCGAGATCTCTGAATCGTGTAATTCCTCTTCAAACGTGGAGCGTGGAACGATTCTCAAATTAGAATGGAATAATAAACATGTAGACATGCAGATAGATCTTTCGTGAGGTAAAATAAAAATTAAAAGCGAACGCTTTGTTGTACGTCTGAATTTTTCTCGAGTTCTATTCTTCCTCCGTGTGTTGGCAGCTGTTTCCTTTTCGAAATTTTTGGCTTTGAATTACAGTCGTAACGAATGTAACGATCAACGTCAAACAATAGGTAAATATTCAGCTGTGAACGAGAACTCGTTTCCACTCATTTTCCACAATCTCCGTCGTGGAGAGCACAAAAGCTCCCCTCGACGAGGTGATTCATTGCCACGCGCAAAACTCGTCCGCTTTTGAAATCGCGAACGACTTGGAACAGCTTCTCCAGGGGAGAAGAAAAAAAGAAAACGAGGCAGAACTTTCGCCGTGAATTGCTTTCGTTCGGCCCAATTATCAGAAATCGTTTCGGCAGAAGAATGCAACTTCAAGAATGCAGCTTCCGATAGAGACATTGTCTCAATTTTATCTCTTCGCTTCTGCTCTTCGGAACAGCTTCGAGCAGCTCGATCCTCCTCCCCATTTCTCTCCCATCGACGACAATGCGGTCGCGGTTAATTTTTAATAGTCGAACATTCCAGAGATGTGGGAATTATTGTCCCGTGTAAAAATCTTGCAAACGTTGGAACGTATTCGTTGTCAAGCAAGATGTCCGAGCCACGACCATAGGTTGATCTAATGATTCAATCGGCTAAATAAGTTGATTCCACGTTTTTTGCGTTTGACTTCCAATTTTTTTTTCTTCTTTCTTTTTCTCTATAATTTCTGCGCTGTTGGCAAAGAGAAAGAGAAAGAAAGAGAGAGAAAGAGAGAGAAAGAACGTGCTAATAAAATCGCTATTTCTGCTCCCCATCTGACGAACAGAAATCCTAGATAACATCAGTCAGCAAACAGCGAACCCGATAATTGCAAATAAAGGAGCGACGTTTCCCCTCGCTGTTCGCAGTTTGCGGGGAAAGGAAAAGAATCGCGCTCCAACCACTACCCATTTACCAGTGAAATTTACCAGCATTGAGTGATCCAATTTATTTAATTGGCTCTCGAAAGAAGTTTCGTTGGTTGAGCAAGACGCACGTGGGTTGTCTCAAAACACAGCAGTTGGGAAATGTTTCGCGCTTTCTGTTAATAGAACAGACCGTTCTGTTCAAAGATCTTTCATCTCTTCTGACGTATCAGCCGTGGATTATTAGCACGAAAGGATTAGAAATTAATTGTTTCTATCGTACAGGAGATTCGCAACCTTCTATTGTTTATTTGCAGTGTAATGTTAGATCGGACTCGCAGCAATTGCATTAATATTATACGCTGGGCCAAAAGTTTCTTCCCATCTATTTTTTTTTTTTTAATAAAACATCAAAATATATTTTTATAAGATATTTATTTTTTTTTTTTAATAAAACATCAAAATATATTTTTATAAGATATTTATTTATATATATATATATATATATATATATATATATATATATATATATATATATGTATTTATAAGATATTTACATATATATATATAAAGTATGTATATTTATAAGATATTTATATATGTATATATAAGAAAATTATATATATATTTATAAAATTTATATATATAAGAAAACTATATATATTTATAAGATATTTATATATATATATAAGAAAACTATATATATATATATTTATAAGAAAATTATAAATATAAATAAATATTAATAATTATAAAATTAAATAAATTATAATAAATATTATAATTATAAA